AGAAGCGCGTGGAAGAGCAACACATTACACCAGCATAGACCCAAATAGCAGAAGTTATTTGCGGGCACCTGCTCTCACTATCTGGGGAAAACAGTCCCTCCGGGTACAGTATTCGATCATCATTTTTGATTTGCTTAAGGAACCTGCAAAAATATAGAATATGCATCAGAAGGGGATTTAACTATAGGGAAAATCATAGTTAAAACAAAAAAAACTCTATAGCAAAAAAACAATCATTGACCCATCTTGAAGGCTCCAATGCATGTCCTTCAAATATCGGACCGGTGTCATACCCAGTTTCAGGGCTGACTGGGCTCATACCTGGCCAAGGGGCAACGCATAGTTCAGAAGAAGGGTGTTGAGCACCACTTTGTGAAAGGTCAGCCAGATCATCGCAAGAATCATGTGCCAGAGTTTCCCTTAGGCCACGCGATGATAGAATCATGGTGACACTTGCGGTTGAGCCCAAATTGGAGCCGGTTAAAGATGAGAGTGGGTCAGGTCCGAAAAATAAGAGGGATTGGTGAAGTTTCTAGGTGTTGGGTCCAATCATGCTCTCACCAGCTCCAGCCTCACAGCTCTTTCAACTCTCGCCCTCCGCAGCAGCTACCCTAGCAAATCCAACTCATCTCACAACAAAACCTTCCATATCCATCCATACGAACCTCCTACCCATCCAACCTCCACAAACTCACCCCCAAGCAAGTGTCAATGGCCTCCAGCACCTATTCTCCATCCCATCCCATCATCCAGGCACATCCTCGTCGCCGAAAGAGCTCGTGACTGAACGCAAAGACCAAGCGCCAGTGCATCACCTTATCACTCTCCACGAGCTGTCCGACCTGGCCCCAAGGCGCGGTGAAGACCCGCGGACGAGCGGAACTGGAACCGGGAGCGGACGGGACCCGGTGGCTTCATGGAAAAGATTCAAAGGCCATAAAAGAAGGTTTTAACATATACAAAAACCATCAAAAACCATCAAAAACCTCTGTTTGCTGCATGTGGTTTGCTAGGGAGTAACCCGGTTTTTGATGGTTTGTGGCCCCCGCCTGGTACCATGTAGTTTCGAGCTAGTCTGGTGCTTCGGTTCCTCCCCCGGAAGGTGCTTCGGTTACAATCGTTACATCTCACAGCCAAGCCTGGAGCGTTTTGGTGGATGAATCAATGAAAGAACAGCTAAAATACATGGATTGTCGAGACAAAGCCGTCTGTTGCAAACCGCCCTACTTCAATCCATGGCAGCTGCACGTCATCTTCATGCGCTCCCTTTGGCCATGCGCCCGTGGGCAGCAGCCGGACGCGAACGAAGCTACAGCCCCCCATGGTGGCGTTGCCCTCGATGCCATGCGTGTGAATCACGAAGAAGCTGCGGGTCCTCGGCGACGCGCCGCGCGCCACGCGGGTCCTTTGCCCCGCCGGTGCCGTGAGCCGACGATCGGAGGAAAACCCCAGCGACGGTGATCACTGGTTGTGGCTGTTCACTGCGAGGGAAGAGGAACTCTACCTTAGGAAAGACCAGAGGTGTTAAGAGGTCAGCAGGGTAAATGATGTTAATCTTGACAGTGCTGTCAATACTGATTTCTTGTGGGGCAGTGCATCGATATGTGTCGATCAAACTTCAACATCAGTTGGTTGTTCCTCATCCATATTCAGGACCCAGTGTCTTTCAGTGCCCCAACATACATAGCCTGACTTCATGCCTAACTCAAAAAAAAAGTTTTAGAAGTGGGGGCAGTGCCACGGCACCAGGTGTCAGGCTTCACCACTCTTCACCGGTGCCTTTTGATGCCTTCACCAGCTTCACCAACTTCCACTCGCTCGACTCCCCCCCTGATGTGACCGGCTTCGCTTGGGACGCCCAGGTGCGCCGCGTAGTGCTCGATGAGTTCCACCGAGCAGGAGGCGATGCGGACGTTGGGCTGGAAGACCACGCGCTGACCTCGCAGGATCCAGGGTCAAGCATGGGAGAAGCCAATGGGATCCATAGAGATCTGTCAATGGGGAATCTGGGGAGTTCGAAATCAGGAAGTAGAATCTGACATACCAGGATCCGCTGTGATTTTAGTTCCGGACACTCTTGGAAGGTCTAACCCTAGAAACACTTCCAACGGCATGTAAAATGCATGATCACCTCTGACGACCCTAAGAAAGGAGATGCAGAAGGAGCTTGTCGACTAATTTAAAATAAGCATGTTTGAATTGTATCAGGAGGCGGAGGAAGAGGGGGAGGAGGAGCATTATGACTATAACTGGTTAATCAAGCCAGGTCAGTGTCACGTCCCCTTCCGTTCCTGCAAAAGTTTCTCTGCATGAGCCAAACCACCCCCCCAACACCAACCCATCCAAAAGGTCTCACCTCTCACCTCTCAGGATCCTTCTCACCTCTCAGGATCCGACCATCCTCTTCCCATGCTCTGACAAAACCGACCGGCTCCGACGTCCGGTCCCACCCTAGACCGCCCCCGCCCCTGCGCCGGCCCAAGCAGCTCAAGGCTCGGTACTTCCTCCCCGCGTTGGCGGTGCCGTCCATGCTCTGCAGCTCCACAGACACCTCTGCGGACACGTCACCTCGAACGCCGAACGGGAGAACGAGAACGGCGACGCGACATGAACCGGAGCTTCAGATGCGGATGGGCTCGGGAGATGGATGCGGCCACAGAAATCAGCGTTTTCGTGATGGATCGACCTGACCGTGATGGATTGGCAAGCCAATTAGGTGACCAATCAGTTTAAGTGATAGCAAGCCGATTTGGTCGACCTGGTGACATCGAACTGATCGACCGGGTGACATCGCACACCACCTATCAGGTCCGGAAAGGAGACAGGAGACAGCCTGTGGAACTTCTAACGTGGAACTTTTGCCCACTTTTGCTGTGTGCCAGGGTCTTGTGCAACTGTTTCAGCTTCACTAGATATGTCAACCAAAGGCGCATAGAAATTTGACATGGACCAACTCTTCCTGGCAAAATGCTTCGAGGCTGAACAAAAACACTTTTTGGAATGCTCACTCTGCATCTTTTACCCTGCAGTCCAACGAATTTAGGGGATGCCTTTTGCCTCCTCCTATAGCATCCTGAAGTCCAAAAACTATGTTTGGTTCCACCCAAGTAATTAAAGGAGAGTCCTTTTCGGGTCATCCAAAGACAATTCTTAACATCTTTGACTTCCAGAGAAACTTCGAGATGCTCCTGATAGCACGGAAAAGAAGATGCATGGATTATGCCTAGCCTGAGACGTCTCCACTTGACTTTCCCCTCTCCACGGTCCACGTGACCCACTCGCAGCAGCACGATCTTGGCCACAGCGTTTGGACCCGGCTGCGCGGTGACCGTGTGGTTGGCCTTGGACCGGTGGATCGTTGTTTGTGGTGGGTCGTGTCACCGGTGGTTTGGGGTGGAGAAAGTGATGTAGACTCTTGATATGTTCAAAAGAAGACCAATATCGCCGATATACTATTGAGCAAATGTTGTTTTATTGAGCAAGAGTCCAGAAGTGGAGGTGGAGATACTTGTAGCACGTGAGTTTGGCTCAAAATGGTTCAAAACACAAATCGAACTGAGATTTGGGCACAACATTCACATCTTGTGAGAAAACTTCCAATGGTTATTGAAGGAGAATCTGCCCCACAGTCGACCGCATGTCTTCAATTCGATTACGGATGAACGTGAGAAAATGTGCGCCAAGTGGCAAAGAAGATTACAGACCCTTTCTCCTTGGCAGGGGTTGAACGGTTGATCTTTGACTATTGATGGATGGACAATGGACAACTCTAACAACAACAACAACAACAACAACAACAACAACAACAACACCAACAGCAACAGCAACAGCAACAGCACCAGCACCAGCAGCAGCAGCAGCAGCAGCAGCAAGAACAAACACAACATGGGCGTCGGAACCCTGTTGATATTCAGGTGGAGGGGTCGGGGTCCCTGCTTAACCCCCTGCATTCTGTAGGCTTAATATCGAGGATGTTTTGGGTATCCCTTTGCGCCTCCGTGAAGGGCGTAAGATTTCGTGAGGTCAAATGGATCAACCTCGCTCGGAGCCCTCGATTCGACGTCCCCGTGGTCCGACATGGATTCGTGATAAGTTCGCGTCCACGTCCACCTGGCCCAATGGGATTTGGATGGTTTTGGAAGGTTTTGGTCTATTTTCCCCGTCTTCAAGGAGATCTGTGGGGGTCTCCCTCTTCAGTTTCGAGCGCGAAAATCCGCCGGTGTCTTCATCTGACCAGGCGCTCATTCTGAATGAGCGATTCTGAATGAGCGCTATGCTTCATAGAACAACGCAGGTTGGACCACTGGCGCGACCACAGGTCGCAGCTTGGACCACAAACACCACTGTACCCGACCGGTGTTGCAACACGCACCCGACCACAGATGGACGACTGGTTGGTTCTTCGTGACCGAACTTGATAACATGGTTCGGTCACGAACAAGCCTCCTGGTGTCACGAAAAGGAACCGACTCAAAAGGTCACTTTGAAGCTGGTGGTTGGGTCTTGACGTTGATTTTAGGCTCACCTGGACGTCTCAAACCTGGAGTGGTGGTGAAATTCACCGTAGGAATCTCCGTGTCTCAGCCTGTCCTTGGGCACGAAGTCCTTCGCCTTGATCAAGGTCGACTTCTCCTGCTCTGCCTGGATTTCTGGAGGCTGATCCCGACGCTGATTGGACGTGTTCGTGCTTGGAATGAGAGCTTATTCTAGCTTTTCATAATATATACATTACAAAACCGACTCGGAAATGTGAATTGAGATGGTATGCTGTGAGCATGCAGGCAAGTTAATGCATCAGTTACGACTCTGGTGCTTCAGATCAATGTTCACATGCATCGCTTGGCTGCTTGACCGGATCGAAGCTACGCCAGGGACAAGGAAAAGCTGTGTCAAAAAGGTCCAACACCTGAGTTGCCCCCTGTTTGCGACCTCAAAACAGCTAACTCTTGAGACTCCTCACCAATCCTCCTTGGTCCTTGGTCCTTCAAGATGACATATACTTATAGCTCCACCCGCCGTCTTCTCCCTCCACGCGTCTCTCGGTCTTCGGTTCCCGGTCGTACCCTCCAGCCCATGGAAGCCACGTTGGGTGTGGAACTGAACCTGAGCGAAGCGCGCAGCACAGCGAGCGGACGGGCGTAACAGCTCGGAGGGCTCGGACAGCTTTCGTTTGGGGGAGACGTCCAATGTCTGTCTTTGGCGAAGCGAAGTCGAAGATGAACTACTCCCCTATAACTGCAGGTCAGGAACTGACCTCATTGTACTGCATGGAGTTCATCATAACACTATACTCTTAAGGTCAAAGGACACAGGTTTGGACCTGCGTCAGACTGGACCTGTAGGGCCTCGTTGTGGAAAAAGTAGTTCCCTCCAAACCTCCAGCGAAACATGGTCCAAACCTCCGAATCGTAGAGCATTCATATAGAGCACTCAATCATCGAGCTTCCAAGAGGTGTCTATAAATAGCCTCTTTTTCGGTGATCTCTTCGGTGTCCCAAAAACCACCGAGCTTGGAAGTTGCTGCAATCATCGAGCTTCCAAGGTTTGACGCAACACGTGGAGACACCACTGACTGTCCCGCCGAGTGAGCGGCAAAGCCTCCCGAACTGCAAGAACCAAGACGTGACGGGGAACCAAACGGTCAGTCTTGCTGCAGTCCGTTTCCCTAAGGTTCCTGAGAAGGTGGTCAGTGGTTGGAGTGGGTTTGGGGTGGATATGGTTGGTGCCCTATAGGGTTGATATCCTTTTTGCTTTTTCATTCTTTCGGAACGCCAGGCGTTCCAAAGTAAAGGCGTTTCGAAAGTGGAAAACCGGGTGCTCCATGGATCAGCGTCGCATAGCGTCGCTTGCATCTGGGGAGCTGTTTCGATTGCTCGGACATCAGGCCTCAGTGGCGAAAACCACCAGCAGTCCCAAAGTTGTGAGGTGTCCCACATTGTTCGCGACAGTTGAGAATGTCAAGGAGGCAACAAAAAGAGAGAGTTGATCGACACACAGCGGTTTTCACACGCCATCTGCAGATGAAAAAAAATTACTTCATCGTGCTGATCAAACACATTGATCTACTCGCCCCATCGTCGCCCACACCTGTTACGTTGCAAGACCCTTGAAAAATCATTCCAACTCCTTGAAAAGCTTGATCAGCAAGCTACTCCCCACGGTGCTCTTGTGCTTGATCAACTTCCTCGGGTTCGCCGCTTCACTTGTCTTCGAACAGAGAGAACTCCAGAGCTCCGTGAGGATGGTCGGCTGGACCGACGGAAAGATGGTGCAAAAGCATTCCCAAAGAATCACGATCCTCAGACGTGCGGCCCTTGGGCCCGCAAAAAACGACAGCAAACACACACGATGTTTAAGTTCAAAAAGAATATCTCCCAAAAAAACTACTACTACTACTACTACTACTACTACTACTACTACTACTACTAC